ATGAATTACTTGATGCTTTCTCTGTTCCATATGGTCAGCCATGTCTTTGGCAATTAATCATGTACAGAATCAGTTGAGTGCTCTCTGAAGCATTGAAGTCAACATTTAGTTGTACCTGTGCCAGTGGGGGCAGTGGGGGTTGCAAGCGTAAAATAGCAGCATGAGGAGCTGCTGGCGCCGAAGCCAGAGCAGCTGGCTTCAATAAACAACACTTTTTTCCTTTTTACCTTTTTTCTTTTTTTTTCTTTGACAAACATGAGCCATTTTTCAATATCATCCAAAACATGAGGCTGCTGAGTGAAACTGTGATATCTGGCATAGTGGATTAATAAACAAAGGGCAAAGAATTGGGTTTAAAGTGTCCAAATTCCTGGGTGATAACTTAAACCATACTGGGTACTTCCACATACCAGTGAAAATGGGTGCATTTACTCGTATTTTAAGTAAAAATAAATAAATTTACAGTAAAGAAGAAATGAGCAGCGGTTTGTAAGCAATTACTTGCTTCTTTTATGGCACAGAAGTTATGACATGTTAAATTAACATGGCTTAATAGATTTCAGGTTCTATTTTTCTCTAAAAGGCATGGTGTTCTGGTTTTGCAGACTTCCATCAGGAAATTTTCTTTTGCACTAACGATAACATAAAGTCACAAAAATAATGAGAAACCAAAAGACTTAAAAAAAAAAAAAAAAAAAAAAAATCAGTCCTGTTTACACATCTCAAACTTAATGCTTTTCCTTCCTGTATTAATTATTGGCTACTGAGAGATGACTGTGATGTTAAAGTAAAATTGATTAATAAAGATTCAGAAGCCATGTTCTATTTAAACTCATGATGAGTAATTTCCATCTTAACTCTAAGTGAAAAAAATTTGTTTGTTGACCTAATAAAGTGGGTCCAAAAGATGAACTGTCCCAAGTGCCACTTTAACTTTAGTTTAGACTGAGGGCTAGTTTGTTTGACAGGATATTAGGCTTCATGTCTCAAGCTACATGTTTCTAATGTTGAGAGGTCTGTGTTGAAGGGAGGAAAATGAAACTTTAAAAGACTAGAAAGGTACCAGCATGGTTGTTGGAGTCTTTAGAGGTTCCTCTTTTGTTCATTTTTTTCATTGGTAGTGGCTAATTTACGTTCAGACAAAGTTTCTTCTGCTATGTATGAAGGAAAGTATACTTGTAATCCTGTTATAATAGCTATAGCATTAATAAAAGTCATCTTAAGATGAGTAGTAAGACATGATCATAAGAGTTTCTGTTCAGTCCTGTGTCACTGATGTGTTTCGTCAGTGGGAACGAGATGAATATGATAGTGGTCTATTAAAGTCTTGTCTATTGCCTTTCTAACTCAATAAAAAATATGCCCTGATGGTTGCTGCCAGGGATGTCAGTAGAGCACTAGATTTATTGCCACTGTGCCAGGAAGAAGATAAAGGACATAATTTGCTAAGCAATCTGTAACATATGAGACTATTGCCAGATGATATAGGTATATCTATTTATGCACATATATATGTAACGTGCTTATACGGGTTTGGTTTTCTTGAGAAGTGGGTTTTTATTTTTAAGGCTGTGCCATTTAGGAATTACAAAGGAAATGCCCTTACTGCATTAATAGATCTATGAGGAAAAAAGGGCAAGACGTGTTTGAAAATGTTAACGGTAGTGCTTGTTGAGGAGATGTGCTGACCAACGGGACGAGAAGTTGCTTCCCTCTAGTGATAAGCAGTTTGCTTAATCACATTTCTTAGGTTGTCCAGGATATGTTTTTGCTAGCTCAGGAAGCAGAAGAAAGAAAGTTTCGACAATCTGTAAACATTACCACCCTCAAGAATCTCAGTGAGCCCGAAGGTGAGATAAGACAGGCTGTAGGGCTGGTTGTGCTATTTGTTTATTCTGCTGTCCTGTGGTCCCAAGCGTGCTGAACAGCACTGAGTCGGTGCGGAGTCCAGAGCAGCAGTGTGAAGGCTTCACTCAGCATCGTGCACAGGGGGCCTCTGCAGACAATTATCTGTCATTAAAGAGCATTAAAGGAATCGAGACACGGGGTCAGGTTTTCTTTGATGAGATGTGCAACTATAGGGATGTTCAAAAGAAGGTCATTCCTGCCCTTTAGAGCAGGGTGGTATTGGCTGGGTTTCTGTTGGATTTTTATCAGTGTTGATGTGAGGAAATGGCTTTCCCAGCTGATAAGATCTTTGACCGAGTTTCTTGAACCCTTGACCTTTATCAGTCAAGGTATATATTGAATCCCCTTGTTAAAAATAAATCCCGAAACAAGTTATATGGAAAAAAAAAATCTTTCAAAGGAGGTTGTTTTATAATATAATTTTACCCAGAATGCTGCTTTATCTTATACAATTTGGGATTTTTACTGAGACAATAAGAATGGCAAGTTATTAAGAAATGTCTCTGTAAAAGCTACATATCAAACCCTGCCCTCGCATTCCAGGCAACCTTACTGCCCTTAGCACTTGTAGGAAACAAGTAAATCAGTTAAATTGCTATGAATCGTTGTTGTATGTTGCTTAATAGTACTATTTCACCCTCGAGGTAGCCCAACGTGCTTGCAGGGCTCAGTAAAGAAGCATTTATGATGTCTGTGTCAAACTGTGTTTGACTTCGTCTGTGTACATCACCACAGGACGGAAAGGTGTTAGTAGAAGTCTGGTGCAATGTAATTGTTCTCTCCATAAAAATTGAAGTGTGTTTTGTTCCCAGATGTAGCTGTAGATGTGAGGGACTTCAGTACCAAAGTGGCAGTTTTGCTAGGCTGCCAGCATTTTTACAAAGGCATTATGTGACTGAACCTTTGGGGAAGCAGTCACCCATTTTTGCAGACTCCAAAGGCATCCTCTTTTCCTTAGGAACCACCAGTTCCCTATGGGTCTGTGCTTTGCAGACTTATTTAGGGGATCTTGATGTTTGTTGTCTGCCAATAACTTTCCGATTTGTCAGGCAGAACATCGTTAATCTTTGTGGTTTTTCTGCAGTCTTGGAGAGAAATAGACTTACACTATTGCCAGCTTTCCCATCTCCTGGGGATTTCCCTATTCTGCTGTGATTAATACAGTCACCCAAAAATTCTGAAAGGAAAATCCTACCGTGCTGTGCTCTGGTAGTATGGTGAGTCCAATGGTGCAATTATACGGAGATAAGCTTAACTATAGTGCTGTGTCAAAAATCTTAGAATACAGAAGATAAAGCCTTAATAGGCATATTTATTTTGAATGATAAGGAGAGTTCGTGTTCATCTCTTGAAGAATGTACACATCTTCATCTCACGTGAGTACGTTTTGAAGACCTGTGCAGTTGCTGCAGATGAGCTGCGGATCAGGGCTGTTGAAGTTGGCAGGTACTACAGCTTTTGGAAAAGATGTTGTAGGTCAGTGCAAGGGAAACCCAGGTCAGAGAATCTTATCTGAAAATACTCTGTCGTCTTGTTTGCTTTGCAGTGTCATAGCAGGGTCAAGAATGTGATCTGTACAAAGTTATGGACATTGGGTACTTCTTTTTTTTGTGCGTGTGTGTGATGGTGTTTGTTTTTGTTTGGATGATTTTTTTTCATGTGCTTTCTTTGCCTTTTGGAAAGCCTAATAGAAATGGGAGAAGGACAAGATGGATGCTTTGTAGTCTTTGACATCTGATGTTGGTGAAATGTTTTTCTGTCTATATGAATCCTGGTATGCTTGTCATTTGGAATCCTTACTGTGGTTTCAATGTCACTGCTACTTTACATAGCATAATATGCATATTCCAACTTTTCGGGAAAAAAAAAAACAAAACAAAACATTTTCCTGTTTTCACAACCTGAAGATAATGATGATTTCTCTTAAGAATCCCTGGAGGAATCTGTGTGTGTGTGTGTACATTTGGGCCAGGCAGGCTTTAAAGGGAACTGTGTGCCATGCCTGTTGGTTATGTTGTTCCCTTAAGAGAGGCCGTGCTGGAGGTAGCATTTGATATCAGTGATATTGGAGTTGTGTTTTGAAACTGCTCAGGTCTGAAACATATTTTTAGCTTCCTTTCCTGTGGAAAAAAAAAAAAAAAACTAGGTTTGCATAAACATTCTGCCCATTTAGTCCCATCCTTCCCAAAAACATTTAGATACTTTGGTCTGTTTGTAAAACATGCTAATGAAGATTACAGCATAAAAAATAAATGAAAATCAATGGCTGATTAAGGTGAGAAAGGCAAATATATTATTCCAAATGAATGAAAAGATTGCAGCTTAGACTCTGTTTCTATTGTGGTTGGACATCCAGCCAGCAGAGGTCCACAGCACAACAGCTCTACGTGCTGGTAGAGATGAGCATCAACATGTGTCGTTTTGTCATGAGGGAGTTCAAGTTTTCTGACTGGATGATGAAGGACAGATGTGCACTTGTGTAGGCCCAGCTGTTAATGCAACATTTGGAAAGACCTGTATCTTGTGTTCTTCAGAGGCTGAATGTAATTCTACTCTACAGCTAGGTCCACTGCATATAATGTATTCCATAAATTAAAAAAAAAAAAGTTTTGCTCCCTGTTTACTTGAAATATTTCATAATAAGATGAAAATAGAGCATGGGTACATGGTAAGTAATTTGTTTCAGGAGGCACGATACAAACAGGAATTGCCTTCAAGGTTAAAAGGGTAGGAGGGACTCTCCCCAAATGCTGTAGTAAGGCAACACTTCTGATATGATGTGATATAAGAAAATGTTTAAAAGAGAATGGAATTGTATCTTAGGAAAATGAGCTAGAATGCACAATGTCTTACTGTATTACTTAAGGCAATGAGATGTTAAGGTTTACCTTATGTGCCACATACATTGATTAAATACCAAATATATGGTGGCCATTTCTAACCATCATTTACTGTATTGATTTGTCAGCAGTGGAACTGTAATAAAAAAAGTATTGATTTACTGTCCTTATTTGCTTATGGGCTTTTTATTAATTTTACACATTGTTTCCTATTTCCAGATTATAATTTTAATGTGTTTTTTTCCTTCTAAGACGAGCCTGGCCCTCCAAGAAGTTAGAAAAAAGGAACAAACTGAAGAACAAAGGAATGAAACCATCAGCTGCTTACTGCTGCTTCTTACTGAGCGACAAAGGCTGCGTAATGAATGGACAGCAAGGTGAGAAAACTGAGAAAAATAGTGAGATATTGAAGTTAGAAACAAGTGTATCTAACTGCTTTGGGGGAGGAAAAAAGTACCCCAACAAACTGGCATTTAAAACAAGTCAGAAGTTTAAATTTTTAACCAGAGTTTTTCCCTTAATAGAATAATTAACATGTCTGCTTCTGAATTCAGAGTTCCTTTGTGAGATGGAATGCTCCTTTACTACACTTATGTAGTGCAAAGTGGGTGGTATAAATACTTGAGGATTACTCTAAGGTTTTCCTTATGCTAGTAACAATATGAGCAATACTCCCAATGGGCATGGCATGCAAAGACGTGTCCATCTTGTCTGTTTCCTTCATGATGCTCACGTTTCTTGTGGTGTCCTTCTTGAGTTAACCAGATGGTGTTCAGTAAATTGGAATATCTGTATTCCTAGAGTTCACATTGTGCAACTGTTTTGTTATACACAAGTTCTTAAATTGAACATATTACCATGGCAATAAAGCAGGTGTTTACGCTAACAATTTTTAAAGGCTGTTTGTGTATATATTTGAAAGTTTATGCTATTTTAGTGTAGTCAGTTGAATGTGTTTGGAAACATGCATTTGTACCTTTAGTCTTTTTGTATATAAGTCAATTCAAAGAATTTCTGTTATATGCCACCTTGTATCTTTCCAGCATGTCATCTTTTTAGCTACCAAGTTGAAGTCGCCTTTTTCTTATTTCTAAAATTTCTAAAAAGTAGATTTTTACTCATGCAATAATTTCATACTTTTCTTATTTATGATAAATAATTACATAAAAATGATAGAGTAGTAAATATTTTCTTCCAAATGCACAGCTTCCTATGAAACCAGGAGATGTCCTGTGCTTGCAGTGAAATACAGCTTTTAGTCAAACTTCTTTCAGACTTGCTTAATCAAAATCAACTTTATTTGGTGTGGTTTTTTACCTATGTTAGACTTTGCAATTAACAAAGTTGTGTATTTTCTTCTAATATCTAATTTAGAAAAGCTCCTGAAATTTGAGATTGACTTCAAAATGTCAGTTTAGGTATTGGTTCTCGTACTTGGCTGGATTTTCTATTCCCAGTAATTGTGTTGTATGGACTTCCTAGGACCATAGAAAGCTTTGAATAGGAAGGGACCTTAAAGATTAAGAGCTTTAGATAAAAACATTAAAGATTACTACATAGTACTACAGTAGCAGAAATTAGATGCTGTAAGTTATAAATTTATTTTCTTATGGGTATATGATTTTTATTTGTATACTAATCAGTTAAGATCTCAGAGTCAAAAAGAGTCAGTAAGGTGAGTCTCTATAATATTGTTCATATTACAATGTAGGATTTGTTTCCTTTTAAAGGAATTCAAGGGAGTTTTATTGCTTGTGGGTTCGTTCGATTTGGCTTGTTGGTGATTTCTGTTTGGGTTGTTGTTTTTTGTTTGTTTTTTTTGCCTACTGCCACCATACTAAATAATCCAAGTAGTTTTGACTACACTGAAAATTGAGAAAATCACTTAAGACTTTTCCATGGGATTCATGCATCCTTCTTGTGAACCAAAGTAAAAGCTTTCTAGAGATAGCAAAAGCCTGAGCAGTTGTAATGAGTGGAATATCTTTTTAGATTTGTTTAGTTTAACAATAATTTCCTAATATACTAAGTCATCAGGAGGCATAGCAATCTAGAGTCATTTAAAAGCAATGTGGTTACAGTGTTTCTGGCCTTTGCTTTTACAGTTCCCAGTTTAATCAGCGGCTGGAGCCAGCGGTGCAGTTGTATCCGCAGCCTTGTCTGACACAGAAATGCCAAAGCTCTTGTGTGGGGGCAGGAAAAGACTTAGAAGCAGACAAAGTGCAGGCCTCCTTGAGACTAAACACCTGAAAGAAAATTTCAAGAGCACGGTGCCTTGAAAGTTCCGAAAGTGTCCTTTGAGTATTAAATATCCATAATCCTTTTTCTTTCCATTTGATGTTTCCCATCCCAGTGACCTATCTGAGTCTCATCCATATGATCTGCATGAACAGGCTGTTATAATACACCTCCCTTGGCTTCATCAAAGCTCCAGCGAGATGTCTGGAATGAGGCACTGGCTGTGGTAGCCATCAAGCAGCAGTGGTGAAAGTTATAAAACGTCCGCCGTGGTGCTGGCAGGGCTGCCCATGTTTTAGAGATCAGCCTGTTGTGTACTTTGGAATTACATGAGAAAAATGTGCTTGGACAGGAAATAATTAGCACTTGTCAAAGGGCAGGCAATAGGTTACAGTATTTTACTTTCAACAGGCTATCAGGGGATCAGCTAGATTAGATAATAGAATTTTTTTTTTCCTCTGGAAGTTAAATACAGATGACTCTAATTACTTTACATTGTGCATTAGAGAGCACATTATGAACAGTACAACTCCAAGAAATTTAGGTCAACGAAGGGAGGCAGCTGGCAAAATCTTTACTCACACTTGGACTCAGTAGTTAGGTAAGCATTCTGTTCTGTCATTTGTTTTATTTGTCATTGATGCCTCAAGATTTAAAAGAAAAAAAGAAGAATTCTGGAAATTGTTAGTTCAAACCGACTGAATCTTGATATTTATGTTTTTTCAGAGGAAAAATGTCATCTTAACTGTTTTGGTGTGTCAGTGTCTACTGAGATAAAGCACATCCTTGCATCATTTGTTTTTAAGTCATACCAGTGTTTCTGCATGTTAGCCAATTGCAAATATTCTGAGCTCCTATTTCAGCACATAGCCCCATCTGCCCATTAGTACAGCAAGCCTTACAGCTGCTTTTGAAGATGCTGTTGGTCCCTTACATAACTGTGCAGGTCTTCCAAGGATTCGAGCAGTGCTGAGTGGCAGTGATCACAAATACTTTCAGGTAGGACTCGGTGGCTGTTCTCTAAGTGTTAACAGAAATGGTCCAGAGTTCCTCAAGCCTTGGATTTGTTTGTGCTGCGTGATAGTGCCTGACGGACAGGTTGTTATAGCTGTAAAGAGCTGCTCAGCCCTTTGAACTGACCCCTTCCCGACCTCGGCTGGAAGAGGTCCCCCCTCAGCACACCGAGTGTGGGGAGCCCAGCTCTACTGTAACGAACGGGGGGTCAGGGAGCAGCTGTGGGTTTGGGGCGAACCATGCAAACCTGCCTAGGCTTTTTTTTCACTGTATGATAATGAAAATTGTTACCAAATTATATGGAAGTTTAACAGCAATAGTGGGAAAGAGAGGGTGGAGTCTGATGCATTGGGTTTGATAAATGAAGTGTGAAGTTACCCATCTGGCTCTAGACAGCCCTCTTTTACTCTACGAAAAGGAAACATTTAAAAATAACCATGGTACATCTAGAATCAATGACCCATACAGAGAGCTGGAATAGATCAAGATTTAATGGTGACTGTGGAAGAAATTATCATTTGAAAAGTGAGACAAAGGATGAAAAAGTACAGTTCAATATCTGCACCTGATTCGTTTTCAGAAAAGGTCTTAATATTTTTAGTCTGCTAATGATGCTACTGACAATTTTTTCTATTTTACTTTCTAACTGGAATCAGAAAAGTTGTTATCCTTAAGAAACAGTTTGGCCAGAAAATAATTTTTTAAAAAAGAGTACTTGAATTTCTGGAGAGTACGTTTCGCTTTTCCATGTCAGCAAATGCCCAGCAGAACTGGGCAGCGTGGTTTCATAAAAATTCTCTTATTTCTCCTCTTAAAGAAACTTGTATCAAGTTATAATAATATTGCCCCAAATGCTTGGTGTCGTACTCTGCTTAATTATTAGGGTTTTTTGGCTGTATTTTTTGAATAAATACATTTACAATGAAATTAGTTTGTCATGAAACAATCAATGCTAGATTAAATTAGGGGATAATGTTTAACTACAATGAAAGTATTAACTCAGTGGAAAAAAACAGTGAAACCATTTTTAAAAGCAAGTCTTTTTCATGCAAAAAAAAAAAAAAAAAAGAAAAATATTAGACCGAAATGATTTTATTATGAGGCAGACTGCTGTCCATTATGCTGTTTCATTGAGTGAAATTCGCATCACATCTCTAAAAGGAAATTCAGTCAGCTAAGGGAAAGTATAAATCTTTGGATAAAGATCTAATGAGGGAAAAAGTTTGAAAGGAAAAATAGAAATATTTATAATAGTAATGTTTTCATAGTTGTGCTGGTTAGATTCTGGAATCTTAGTAGAGTTCTCTCTAGGCCATCACATAATAACAAGTTGATATAGTGAAAACATAATAAATACTCAGTAAATAATTTGGACCAAAGTAGACACAAAATTCTCCTGGTTCATGAGATGGACAGCAGAGAAGTGTTAATTGATTATTTCCTGCAAGGATCCGTAGCTTAAATCCTTGGCTCATTGAAACGGCATGGTGAACAAAATCTGTTTTATGAGGTCTTTGCTACAACATACGGTAGATCAGATCACTGTGTATTTTAAGAGTTGTTACATTCTTCCATCTTTTCATAGCTCTTCAAAAAAGAACTTCTTACTCATGACAAATAGCATGAACTTCTGGTTTCCAGTCAAACCTGAACTGTAGTTCCTCACTGTTTCTTGGTCACCACACTTGCTCTTCTCCAACCCCTCTAGAAATATGTAGGTCACACCAATCTTTACATAACACTGTAAAGCTGCATATTTTTTCTTGATAGAGTAAGTGCTTGTTCTATTGGTGAGATACTCTTACCTCTCAGCAGTGATAGCTGGATTACTACATAGATATTTTATATGTGAATTTATTACAACTCTTCATATTTGTGTCTGTGCATAGAGTGAGAACTGAGTCCCAGCCTGCAGTCTTGTTGGATTCAATGAACAAAGAAGAGTGTGAGAGAAATCCTAATGAAATAGTGTGCACGTTAAGCAAGACACAAACAGGAAGATTTTGATATCTCTGTTTAGAAGAAAGATATTATTTTTCTTGTGCCTTATCTCTTTCATGCTTAGGAAGGTAAATGAGGTGAATCTCGCTCTTTGCTCCAGCAGGAGAAAGTGTTGGATTACTTA